GCGCTCCCGGGGCACGCGCCTCCCCGCTGAGCACCCTGCCTGCCACGCAGCCAGGACCCGGGCCGGCACGAGGGGCTGGTTTCAACTCGCTCCTTGCACAAACATCAGCGCCTTTTGTTAATCCAGCAGAGCAATGTAAAGAAAAACGCGACCCACAGGAAGCGGAAAGAGATGCGATGCATGCGTCCTTATGCCACCGCTTGAGTTCTTGCTCAAATCCCACCGCTCCTGTGCTCATTCGGTATCGTGCAAAGTAAAGGACTGTTAAGTGCTACCCACCCCACCGAAAATTTATCTTTTACAATACCATTACTTTAATTCTGTATGACCAATAATTCCGGTTTTGATATTTGTTCATCTTCTATCTAAAGCAAAAGCTTCAGTGTTTGATTTAATTTGTTTTCAAATTTTTACTTTTTGGTGCAATTACTACCTTGAAACCTACATCGGTAATGCTCAAAATTCTTAAAAAAATACCACTGTTTGAATTTTAGCCATGTACCAAAAGAAACATTACAGAAAAATATTTTCTTGCTTTATCTCTACAGTTCCTGAAAAACTGTGTCTTGTGGACTTGGATACAAACGTACTGGAGAAACCAAAACTACATGAATAGAGAAGACCTCAAATGGCCACTGTGATCTGTAACAGTCTATATACACGTTATATACATATGACTGTTTGAGAGCCTGTATTCATGAATGTCTACAGTCTACATACTGCACAAAGTTCATTTGCTGAGGGGTTTTTTTTAAATCTTTTTTTTAAAACTACTGTCAGAAACAAGGAGAACAACCTTGTGGTGGCACAGAAAACGTGATTACTGGATTTAGTCTTACCCTCCTAGTGCCACTGCTCATTAACCATGAACTGATTTTGCAAATCTGTCATTCAACCCAATAAGTTCTACATTTTTTCTTATTGCATTTGTACATGTAACAAATTGGTACAAATGTTTACAATAAAATGTAAAGTTCATTGATACAATGCCTTTCATGACGGCCATAACTGGTTACTAGCCAACTTTGTAGTTTTTTAGAGACGTTTTTAGCTGAACTTGGAAAAATAGGAAATGTATTGTAGCTTAAAATAAATGTACATAATATACAATATATATATATTTATACACATGTGTATGTCTACATACACATATATTGATATAACATTTAAAGTAATGTTTAGTTTTGATCAGTTCTCTGAGTGCTGGGACTACCTGGCAAATAAATCTAGAAACGGAAGTTGCCCACAATTAAATAATCATTTCCACAACTTAGAAAAATATACTTTTACTAAATAAGGTTTAAATTAACTGATTTATGGATATAGCATGGAGGATAATGGCTTCCAGCCTCTGGCATGATTAAATCTGAAAGGACCCAAGCTACTACAAACCGGTAACGAACGCTGCCCCGCAGCCAAACACAGAAGAGCACAGAAATACAAGCTGCTGCTGCAGCCATCATTTGTGGCACCCAAACCCTCTCTGGTTCGGTCACCTCTTATGTGGGCTTCATTTCCACCCAGTACCTGCCGCCCACCTGACCTCACGCTCTGTTTTTTAAGGCCCACTTCAACCACAACCACACAGCGCCTGCGCCTTCTCCACGTACAGCACTTGCTGACTGATGTGAGCAGCTCCCCACTTCCACGCAACTCTTGCCTTAAGCGCTAACATGATCAAGGTCCCTAATTAGCGACTTGGAGGACCATCAGTACTTGAGCTTCACCATACGGATTTTGATCTACTGCATAGGTAAATATATTCTAGCAAAACATACATATGTGTGTGTGTGTATATATAAAAAAGCATCTATACATATACACACATGTGTGTGAGTATGTGTACATCTCTCCATAAAATATTTCATGGAGCTATGTGTAGTAATGCCATATACCATGGTATCCTGCCTACATTATCTGATTTTTTTTTTTAAATATATAGGCACCAGAAATAAGTATATAGAGCAAATCAACCTTTAAAAATTAAAGTTAAATCAGTGGACAAGAACTTTGGTAAAGCTTGTCAATATTTATTTTTTTTTATTCAAATACAGTCAAAGTCTATCAGTTGCCATCACCCTCTTCACAAGAGGAAAGTGCATGTGGGTTTTTTTTTTTTCCTAAAGAAAATTATACATAAGGTGGGGCTTAAGGATTCAAGAAAATTTTGAATTAAATGTTTACATTTTTCAAAAGATTACTATCTTTCTGATGGAATGAAAGCTAAATAGAGTTCTTGTCCTGTGTGTATTTTATTTATTTATCATATGCATATACATATATAAATATATATATGTATGTCTCTGCTTATGTACCTCTGTGCGTATATACACATCCACACACTTTTAACAGGAGAGAGGAACCTGTTTTTCTCCACTTTGTGTGTGGAGACTTACAAGTTCCTCCCTGTTTTGTACCCTGTGCAGTACAAGCTCTAGTGATGAGGCCAGACAAAAAGATATAGTTCACCATAGTATATTAGTTTATGTAGCAAAGTAATTTTCAAGCAAGTAAAATAAAGCTCTGTATTCCAAACTTCTTTTCCTTAACATTTCTCATAAAAGAAAAGGAAGGAAAAGGAAAGAGGGGAGGGAGTAGGATTATGGCAGTAGCATTGAACCAGTGGCACGTGTGCGTGTGTGTATGCGAGTGTGCAAGTGCATGCACGTGCGCGCACACACACACGCACATGCACAGAGAGCAGGGCTTTGGTTGACAAATGCAGATTGTCCAGAGAAGGTGGATGCATAAGTAAGGAAGACTCTACAGTGATGCAATTGTATCTTTTATGTTTGCATGGAGTGAGAAAACAAATTCAATTGGGGGGGGGAAGCAAAGACCTCTTTTTAGGTCCCTCATCAGTGAGAGCATACTCAGTATGCTAGAGAATTTATCTGAAACCTTTTAAATCAAGGCCTCTTTATTACAAAAATAAAAATGAACAAACAAAAAGTATGAGAGACGACAAGATGCCGAAGTGTCACTCCAATCGTCCCTGCAGAGAGCAATTGCATCCCATTTATTATTCATTCTCTTCTCTCATTTCTACGATGTCTGTCATTTCCTCTGTGTGAGGCATGTCGGTCATTGCAGAGTCTTCACCTTCTGTAGCGGCTTCATTCTCATTCCGCTTCTTTTTCTAGGTTGAAAGAAGCATTTGGAAACCTATCAGTAAGTTGTGCATGAACACAGTCCTACAAACTTTGGGCACTGGGAGAAGTGAGGTGCGAATAATTTTTTTTTTTTTAGTATGTTATTAAGAAAATATTTGTGTCATATTCGTGGCTAACTTAGATTTCCATAACCTTCCTGGGGCTCAGCATTCTCCTTTCTAACATAAATGCAATAATAGAGGCATTTCTTATGCTAAGCAACGTCCAAAACAGGCTTCAGCACAACTGGAGGGAAGAGAGCATCTGGAATCTTTTACATCACACAGACTTTTTATTAAAAAAAATAAGCAAAGCAAACAAAATATGAGAGGAGATAAGCTGCTCTAGGGAGGGACACAGAGGTGGCAACCTAATTTCTCAAATGTCAAACTTCAGGAATCTCACAAGATGTGAACATTCTGGCTTTTCTTGATATTGCTGATCCACTGTGAGCCCCCACCCCATCAAGGCCAAGTAGAGTATTTTTGGCTAGCAGGAGCAGGAGGGCATTCAAAAGTCCTATGATTCATCCAGGATGTCCTGGATTAGTAAGGCTAAGAAGCATTCAGCCCCACTACAAAACAAGTTGAAGCATCTGTTCCTTATTATCTGTTTCTCAGCAGGCTGACTAGTTTTACAGAAACCACTTGTACAGCTGACAAAAAATCCCCCACAGGTATTACTGATTCCGCTGAGTTGGGCCTATCAGAGTTTCAAAATTTTAGAGGTGTCTACACAACAGTTGATTTGCAGCTCTCAAACCCTGCGCGCTTATTACCACTGTAGGTGAAAACAAGTTGGTGTATACAGCTACCGGTTGGCTCTGCCACTGTCACACTGGCTATTGAGATGACGCTGTCAGCTACATACTAATTCTGGTAAGGGGATAAATTAGGTTGGCACAGTTATTATTACTACTACCTGCACTCATCACTGCAAAAAATTAAGCACCATGTCCCTGGCCAGAAATGCTCTATGAGCTAGTCCTGTAACAAACAAGCAACAAGGAGGTTAGTCCAAACATGTATGTTGTGAAACCACAGGCCAAGAACAGCCATTTCAGGGTCTACAGGTTTTACTCTTTGGTGCTCAAGAAAAACATGACAGACTAATCATGACAGAGATCAAGGTCTTCTGTTTTCTTATGAACCGTGTACACTCTGGTCTACTGCCATGGCCTGCACTGTTACTACATATTAAAACTGGTTTTAGTTTGTTCCAACATAAGGCTTTTAGATATTCCATCTTCTGTATTTTTTTGCTAAAATTAGAAGTGGTGGGCATAGAATCGTTTAGGTTGGAAAAGACCTTTAAGATCATCCAGTCCAACCATTAACCTAACATTACCAAGTCCACCATTAAGGCAATTAAGGGTAGAGTAGCAATTTCATGTTTCCTGGCTTGGTGGCTGGATTATTTATAATGAAAGTAAAAACTAGGAATCATTAAGATTGGAAAGGATACCTAAGATCATCAGTCCAACCAAATCTAATTAAAAAAAAAAAAGTAAATGCATAGATTGGATTTTCTGCTCCCATACACGGAGTCCTTCGGCACCGTGGAATGATGTACACACCATGCCATTTCTGCTTGGAGTTGGGCCTGGTGCCTACACAGTGCCTTGAACACATAACTGGAAGGGCACAACATGCAGATACTGTACCCAGTCACCTAGCTAATATTCATCCCGTGTTTGACTTCATTTAGCGGAATATTCTTTGAAATCCATGTACCACTACTACTCCGTACATGTAGGACTGTAGTGTGTGAAATATGTAAAGGTAAGCCTATGAGAAATCCTTGCCAGTTTAAGTATTTGTAAGCTCCTATCCTCTACTGCTGCAGGAGTAGATCTTGTTTTAAGCCACTTCTTTAGATGACAAAAAAAATAAGCAACTGTACTTTTTGTCCATTTTCAGCAGAGCTGGTTTTATAAAGACATAAAAGTATACATATACACACCCACTCACCCCCACACACACATACACGTACATATAATAAGCTTGGGTGAGTAGTTCCTGTGTCTACGTAAAGAAGCTATGTTGTACCGTAGTAGCAGATCTACAGTGCAAAGCAGGTGGTGGTAAGGACATGATATCCACGATATGCATGTTTTGAGGAGCAAGAGGTTTACTTCAGACCAGCAGGTCCCATGGCCTGAATGCCCACTAGCAGCTGGAGGGCACCTTCTGGTTTTATTTCAACCCAAAGAATTCCCAAGTTGCACACTCTTGAGACCACATGGGGAAGCAAACCAAATTCAGTAAGTGGGGATGCTGGGGAGTTACATTTCAAAAGTGTACTCTTAATCTGAACTAAAATCCATTATACTCATCAACTGCTTTCACCAGATCCCACAGAGCCTAATTCTTACCTGTTTCCGATAGACGTAACAGGCTGCTATTGCAACCATGGTGGATTCTCCTACAAAACCAGCTAGAAGGGATCCTACTCCAAGAGTGGCTCCATGAACTCTGTGGGCGGCATAAAAAGAAAGTAGTCATGGTTGTGTGAGAATGCATGATTCATAATTGTATTTCCACTGGCATATAGAATCAGTCTGTTGTTAGAAATATTTCCTTCAAAGACGTAATACACTGGCAAAAAGAATAACTGGGACTTTAAATGACTTTTTTGGTTTTTTTATGGCTTCACTGTTTAAAAGAAACATATTCTGAATCAAATTATGAACTAAGAATTTAAAGTCTTGTACTGAGTGCTGTAAAAGAGATTATTTAACTTATAAACAAGATATTCTTCCATTAGCTTTCTTAACAGTGCATTTATTAGAATGGAAATAAATTCCCCGGAGGATACGTTTGCCTCTCTGACATTTGCCTATTTCTTCAAAAGGGACATCGCTATCATGCCTGCCTAGAGCAAAGGCACACTTGTGAATTTGTAAATGTTTCTTTTCCAGATATTGACACTATTTAGGCTTTATATTGTGGTTAGTAATTGGGGAAAATGTTCTGAGCTACCCAAATTCAGCTATTAAGTGACAGGAAATGGGATGGAAGAGGAAAGCAAACCCATGAGCTCTGTGGAGAGGAGAACGATTTACCCCAAGTAAGGCAGCACAATGAGACTGGTGATGAGGACGATAATCCGCAGCACTGAGCTGGGTGCCAACACAAATGTCTTCTTTAGAGTCATCAGCCAACCAGTCAAGTGGGCTCTGACGGTCACTGTTTATGAAAGGGAGGCGAGAGTAGTAAAAAAAAATCAGTCATCTCATATGAAGCTTTTTCATGCAGACAGCATTGTTCAAAAATAACCATGGTGAAATTTCTGTCTCGTAACTTTGCACACTGGGAAGCCTTACTAGAAATGAAGTAGATCTTGTGTCCAAATTGCTTTAATATACTGATTTTTGAAAAAACAATGCACCAGTTATAGACAGCAAGCCTTCCTGAGAGCTGTTCTCTTACAACCGATTTTTTAGATGGTCCACTCTGTTTTCTTCATTAAAAGAATATCCCTTCCCTAAACAAAAATCATACCAAGGAAAATTTTCCCTCTAGCTCCTGTGTGGTACATGGTGTAACAGCTAGTCACAAAAAATGGTATCTGCATGTACCTATTCTTATATTTGGAGTTTACCTTTATTACAAAACTGTCTTGTCATACACGCAGAAAACACTACATGATGTAGCATTTGATTACAGAAGTTAGAAATTTTTTGAGGGGAAACATTTTGATTAGTGCTGTCAAGCTTGCCTCTCTCTTGAATACAGGCATTAATTTTTATTCTATATTGTTTATGCTGTGATGATATCTGGAAGTGCCACTGAGTCTGGCAGCAGAAGGGGAGACTAATGGAGGTGATGTTACTGTGGAGCTGGTCCTAGATGCTATTCCAAACAGTTAATTTCAGTCTTGGCATGCATGTATTGCTACTGCCATTCATGTGTGTGTTCTTAGTCAGCTACAATAGACAGAATTCAGACTTTTGACAATCAGAAATCTGCCTAATGACAGACTGCTCTTACCGCAACATTTCTATCTTGACTACCAATGTAAATAGTCTTGGTCTACACCAACTTCAATAAAAACTGTGCTACTTATGCTAGGCATGCATTTAGCCACTCTTGTGTGTACAGCCACGCCAGACTCTACGACCACACCTCAAAGTTGGCTTGGTTTTGAGGTTACAGAGTTTTTATTTTCTTGTTTTTTACCTGGAACTGGAAAGAAGGAGAAGATGCGCAAAGGAACAACACACAGCTCTGCAAAAGCGAAGTCTACTCCAATTATGTCAACTAAAATCTTCTCTGACACATTTGGCGTCCAAAACATCACAAAACAGAGCTAGGAAGAACAAAATTAAGAAATGTTTGTATTTCAGAAGGGAAGCACAACAAAAGACAGGCCCTCCTGGTCTAAAACATTTGTTTACTGATGTGTATTTTTGGTATTAAATGAAGGAAGAAGATGAAAAAAAAAATGTTTGCTTTTCTACAGTGTTCAGGGATTTGTAGCATGCAGCAATTACTGTTTTAATCATCACTAAGGCAGGCATATTTTATGATTAACTTTAATCACTTTATTTAACCATTCTCTTATGTTTCTGCCTCTTTGCACATAGACTGATGAAAGAAAATAACACGTTAAGCAACAGTCCTGACTCAACAGTTTATGAAGCAGTCATTAAAAAAACCCCACACATGCATGCAAACCTAACAGAGTATTTGTTTACTGGGCTCAGATTCTAACAATTCAAATATTATGGCTCAGCCTGACTGTAATCAAGAAGAAATTGGAGGGAAGGTTTTAAAAGGCTCTTCAGAGAGCCACCCCAACCACCAACAGGTTTTGTTTTCGACTTAATTTGAGGATGCTGAACGCTCTAAAAGTCAAGACCAATTTTGTTGTTCTCAATAAAGAGTGGAAAACAGATTCTCACTTCTCTCATATCAATCAGTCAAAAATATTGGAAAAGAAACAATCACAAGCAAAGCTCATAAACACAGTCAGAATTAATTTCCTTTACTTTGAGAAACATATTCGAAGCACTGTTTTGCAACAATTTAAAGACGTTTTAAAATATCTAAATGCGGTAAGACTCTAGTGTACACATAGTATATTTACACTCAGCTTGCATGCAAATACACAGAGCACACAAGTAAGAGAAGCATTTTAACTTCAGAGGCAATTCCTACTCTTCATGTTCCTCACGTACCAAGACTGACGCATATAGAAAGAATTTTTATGGTGCCTGCAAATGGTTGTACTTGAACGGTCTAATTGTTACAAAAAGAGTAAGAAACTTGATTTTTACAGTACGCTCTGGTTAAGACACCCATATTCCTACAGATTATCACATGTTTTAATAACTAAAAATTTGAAGCACTCCAAGACCCAGAGATCTGCCCTAAATCTGAGATGAGGGGTTTAAACGTGCTGCTGATACTAGTATTGTTGGTATGTAAAATGCCTGATACCAAGGCAAAGGTGTTCAGCATAGTCCTGCAGACACAGTGCCCTCGGGCCACAAATTCACCAAGTCTGGTTATTTTACAGAGTGTGCTGTTTAGTCCATACATGAAAGGAAAACTTCCATAAAAAACTTGCAACAAATGGTATAGCGGTAGTACATGCTGTTTAATTTTTTGGTCAGTACTGAGGCAGGGCTTCAGTCCGGGCTGAGGGGGCTTTTGGCAGCTGGCAGGTCCAGCTTCAGTTCAAGGCACTCACTGAAGAATGGTGCTGACAGCCCTTACAAGACTTTTCTGTAAGAAAGGGTACCAGACATCCTTTCAAGTATAACTACTTTGCCATTTAACTTGGTTTTGTGATTTAAAAAGAGATTTCTTCCTGTTATTCTCACAGTAAAGCACATGTTAAGGAAGCAAGCTGACTGAACAAGGCAAAACTTGGGACCCTAAATGCTCTGGCACTCCTCTGTCAAGTTACAAACCAGCATACCAGGTAAATTATGCACACTGGCTGTACAATCTGATAGCTCTCTAAGGCTCTGTAACTACTCTCTTGTAATTTAGCCTACAAGCTAGCATTATAGTATCTAGCTCTTCTCTTATTATTCAGTTGTCACATCCCTACATGTTCAGATGGCTTTTAAAGCTAGTCTTTGAAGCCCTACCACCTCCAAGACAGCTGGGATTTCACTCTCATTCTTTGGTTGTGTGCCAGGATTATTGTTTCTGTTTAGCCTATGAGTATTCAGACCGCAGGAGTTTCCCAAGGTCCGTGACTGAGTGGCCTGTAGGAGGTCTTGTGTTCTGACAGCCTGTGCGGTGAACAAAACATTTCACCTTCCTGCAAAAAGGCTTATCTTCAGTTTTCTTCTCCACTTCTTAGGGTAGGAACCACTATTTATTTTTCACAATTGAATGTTCTACTTGACTAATTTGATGGTGTCTTGTGGTGTATCTCCATCATCTATACAGAGAATAGTAAGTGGAGGAAGGTAAGAGCAGAAGACAAATGAACTGAGCATGGAGTTTTTTCCGCTTTAGCCAGCACTTCTCTGTCCCTGCCAAACTACTTGTACAGCGTACAACTGAAGCAGAGGGGACAATCTAGAACAGAGAAGGTTGTGTAGTTGACAATCCAGTTACTAAAAAGTAACTGCACAGTGACAGGAGCAAATGCTTTCATTGTTGCAGACACCACTAGGCAGACTGCAGTGATTTGTACTCTTACTGCAAATGACCTGTAAAGCAACCATACAGGGAATATTTTGTCAAATCTTTCTTCAAAGTCCAAAAACCAAAATAAGATGCAAAGATGTCCGCTCTTCAATTTTAATTTTCTGTTTTCATGAAAGCAAAGACCCTTATGCTGCTTGTACTGCACAAAGCCATTAGCATCCTACTGAGCAGTATAGTTACTGCTGCTGCAAGATTCCATACGTTTATGCTAACAGCAGAGTCTGCCCACTGCCAGCAAAAGGCAAATAGAGCAGTCTTTCCTTCTTCAGTAGCTGTTTGAAAGAATATTCTAACATGGTTAGACAGGTAAGCAAATAAGTGACTAAAAGCATTGTTCTCAATCCTGTTCTCATTGAGGTTAGTTTCTGGCCTTAATAAGAACAGACTCCAATCTCCATCCAGCTCCTACAGGAGGAAGGTCAGTTTGCAAATCAGAGGTAATGACTTATACCCAGGTGGTATGCAGTCATTCCTCCTCAGTTGCAAACTGCAGTCTTCCCTGCTCCCCACCCCACTGATGAGCAGAGAGTTAGTGCTGATAAATGGCTTCAAAGAGCACTTCTTGTATAGCAGCTGGTGGGTAAAGACAGCAGTGACTGCGAAGCTCAAGAATCAGCAGTTTGAGGAGGTGAGACATGGCAGCAGAAGGACCTTCTATTTCTGTCTCAGTATGCTTCCATCATTTGGTTGTAATATTGATAACTAGTTTCATTTTGCAAAGAGATTCCTCTCTGTCATCTTATGAGCAGATGATATTCTTGTTGCCTGCAGGCGACACAGCCTCAGGAAATTAATGCTTTGCATCATGCAAGCCCTCTGCAATTTAACTTCGACAGCACTTGCAACTTGGGAAAAGTTTCCATATTGTTTCAAAAACCAATTCAAAATGTAGTGGAAAAAACCAGGCTCTACTTCAGGAAAACAGTAACATTAAACATGCAAGGGAAGGAAGGTATTTCAGCTACTGATTTTATTACAGATGAGGTATACTGAAAATAGGGTGGAGTCTTAGCTTTTTGTGATGCTGAGTGGTCTGTTTGATGTTTGTGATTACCTTGGTAAAGGGTAAAGACTGATCAGAAAAAGAGACTGGAGAAGATGGTAACACATGAAATGATGCAAGTAGTCCAGCGAAACAGAGAGCATGGTGCATACAATTAGAGATGGGATCTACTGGAGTAAGCAGTGGTAACTTCCTGGGGCTCAGATCAGGAAAGATTTTTGGAAATATGTCTTAGTATGTCTCCTATCTTTCTTTTAGTTAAACACTGTTTGTTTCCCCCTCGCCCTTATGTCTTTCTTCATGTGTCTGCAAGGTTAAAAATAGAATAAATAGGCTTGGGTGGGGTTACAGTTATACCTTCATTTAATCTAATCAAGACGTGAAGATGAAACAGTAAATGCTTCAGCATAGGCTAGCAACACACATGCACAATGGCACTGCAGCTTCAGGTTGCGAGTGCAGTTGGCTGCAATGGCTATATACAGCAATGAATACTGTACTTGGCAACTCTGCTGAGGCTGAAGCATTTTAATGCTTTGGGAGTAAGGATTTTGCTTATGAAATTCTAGCAACAGAATTGACTTGATTTTCTGTTATGGTATGAGCACAGCGTGGTATTAAAGGATAGTTTTGTTAAAGCCTTTGATCATTTAAACAGAACTTCAGCTGAGCAGAGATGAGCATTTTAAAACCACAGGAAAAAATGAAGACATAAACAGGAGAGTGGAACACTACAAAGAATACGCAGGCCCGAGTAAAGACAGTAATATTTATTATGATGGTGTTATCTCTTGTAAACAACAGTAGCCTAAGTATTTCTGAAAGTGTTTTAATCATTTGAATTATCTGAAGGGTTGTGCTATTGGGTAACATGTCTTTAACTGATCTACAGTAGTAAAATTTGAAAGACTTTATTAAACATGTCAGTAATTCACAGTGGCATAAGAAAATCAGTACAGCTGTAACAGATCAGGTCAAAGCTCCAGTGAGATTAGTACCCTGCTAAAGGTCACTGGGGGTTGCATATGGAAGGGGCACAAAGAGCAGGGCAAGTGCAGAGTAAGAGACGCTTTTCTGCGGCTGCATGGTCTGAGCTGCTGGCAGTTAGGGCTTCAGGTGTTCAGTAACTGCGGTGCACCTTCATCCCATGCAGCATTATGTTGTGCATACAAAATATCTAGTATTAGTGATGGGTTGTGTGTGTCCTCCCTCAATCCAGTTGCGCATTAAAAAAAGTCAAAAAACCTCTCACTTGTGGCTTAGATGCTCTCTGTAAGTAGATGTGCTTACTTCCATGTGGAACCTTGCTATTCTTAGCTAGCAAATTCAGTGCCTCGGCATATTACAAGGTTACACATCAAAAACTTCTGCTGTCAACAAGCCTGAGAGAACGCACCAAAGCTTTGTTTCAGCAGGGGAAGTATCAAACTGGTAGTGCTTAGTCCAACTTCTCTTTAATCTCTTTTCTTAAGCGCACTCCGTGCATTTTACTTTCACTAATGATTGTGACGAAAGACTGTTCATGAGATTTTGTTTCAGATGCTGCATGTGTGAGTTTGAATGCTAGTAGTTCTTGAAAACTAACAGTCTTTTCATAGGCTCTGCATCTCCTGGAAGCTATTTCCATTTATTCT